GTAAAAGGCATCAAACTGTGGAGGCAAATTATGGGTGAACAAAAAGGGTAGATTCTTAAGATAGACAAATTTAAATCCATTCATTAAAAAATTCTCTAAAGAGTTGCCTCAGTAAAGCACCTCAATAAACCATTTTAAAGTATAATTATCAGAACTATTCTGCCTTAGCTGTTACCTAAAGTTCTTTGGGTTGGATCATAAACCTATTATCTCTTGTTTAGTTCTCCAGCAAGCCACAACAGCTAGTTGGCATTTTTTTTTTTAATTTTTATTGTGATTTGGATGAAAGTTTACAGAGCATATTCATTTATGATACAGCAGCTCACATACACCGTCTCATGACATTGACTGCAATTTTCCACAATGCAACAACTCTCTTCCCACTTCCTCCCCATAGTTACCTCTTCCCTGTGTCCTTCCCTCCCATGCACTCCTGTCCCTCAAGCTGTCTCCCTGTGTATATACAGCCCTTCTATTCTCCCACGATTGATCTTTCCAAAGAGTGTATCTACCTAATGCAAATGTTCAGCTCATATGCCTGTCTTTTGTTTGGCTGGAAGCCCCAGCAATGGGTTCGATTCCAGACCTGAAGGGCAACTAGAGGCCATTGTCTCAAGGGTTCCATCAGGCTCTATTAGGTCAGCAAACCTGGTCCTCCCCCCACCCTTTCTTTTTAATGATTTTGATTTTTGTTCCACATTATTCTCCCTCTCTATCCAGGATCTCCTACATAGATCCCCCTCTGAGTGGTTGACAGTGGTAGCCAGGCACCCCATCTAGTTCTTCTGGTCTCATAGTCGTATTGGCTGAGGATCGTATGGTGTACTAGTCCCTTGGACTAATTGTTTCCATGTACCTTTGGTTTTCTTCATTTTTCTTTGCTCTGGATAAGAAGAGACCCATTGTTGCATCTACATGGCTGCTTGCAAACTTTTAAGATCCCAGTTGCTACTTGTCAAAGTAGGAGGTGGAACAATGTTTTGCGTAGTATGTTATGCCAGTTGAGCTTGATATCCCCTGCAACCATGGTCCCGAGCCCACAGGTCCAACTACTCGCTCCCTTCAGGTAGCTGGCTGTGATCAAGAAGTGACTACAACACTGTCCCTTGTCAGCTCTACTATACACCTGGAAATTCTTACAGAACATACAAATACACTTGTAGAAACATTGTCTGCCAACCCTATCCATGGTCGTGGTGTTACCATCTTTCAAATCTGAAAAGCTTTAGTAAACCATTAAGTTCCTTTTCACTAATAGACTGTTTACCTTTCCTAATCTAGTCCAGAATTTTAATAACTA